TAATGATTACAAAAGCTGACGTTTCGAGCGTTAGCCCTTCGTCATTCGCTCCGACGAAGGGCTAACGCTCGAAATGTCAGCTTTTGTAATCATTACAGTGGCTAATTTACCATTTCAACTTTGTTGATATATCCAAATAATCTGCTATAACCCTTTGGGATTTTTCTGACAAATAATTGGCTGTCATGTTATTACTATTCTTACTGGGTTCTTCGAAAGACCAATCTCCTTGAATGTGACGACAATTTTAACTTACCAAATCCCATGTCATCATCCGACTCCTCAGACTCCTCTTTCTTTTCTTCTTTCTTCTCTTCTTCCTTAGCTTCGTCTCCGCCACCGGCAGCAGGAGCACCACCACCTCCAGCGGCAGGAGCTGCCGCCCCTCCAGCACCAGGTGCACCAGCACTCTGAATGAGGCTTTCTAGGCTGTGTCCCTCCAAGGCTTTGGCAAACAGTCCTGGCCAGAAGGGTTCAACATCAACTTTGGCAGCCTTGACAAGTTTCTCAATCTTTTCTGCCTGTAGGGTAACAATAAGGATATACTGTAAATGTCTTGATGGCTCAACCTTTAATTCTGAAAATAGTGTGGCCACAAATTTCTGATTAAAATGCAATTAGGGCTCCAAATTAAACTTTCTTACGCCACTTTTAGTGCAGATTTAGACTCAGCAGTCAGAAAATTTGGCAGCATTTTCATAGCATTTTCCACCCACAAGTTCATGTTCTCCTCTAATTTAACCCTTCCCTCCAATTATCTCATTAATTATTCTCCTAATAACCCCCAAATTGATATTTTTCTTTATTCTTATCACTTTTCTGCTTGACTCTGCTTTGATATTGTAAGAAGAAATACTGTCTTAGTCACTCATATTAGAGAAGTTTTGTAGAATAAGAAATTACACATAAATTGCATACGCTTGGAACATAAAACCAAGAACAACCTTGTAACAATATCCCTAAATTGATGTTACCTTATAGCCTTGGTTTAAATTGATAAATAAATTGATCAAAAACAAGCATACACGTGGAATCTCGGAAACATTTCTCAAACTACCACTTTGTACGTCAGGATTCAAAACCAATTTTCTACTTTATACTCACATACTAGCGGCTCAGAATATAAAAAATGAAATCACCCTTTTATGATCATATGTCAGAGGTGTAAGTTCATCACAGCCACTAAAATTAACACTATATTATCCCCTAAGAATACCGCCATTTTGATTATTGCGTACCGTGATAGCAATTCCATCATCGTGGAGAATGAGAGCACTGTACACGCAAGCAAGTTCTGATGTTGATGCCATCGTGTCGTTTAATTTCTTACGTTGCTGTTTTGTCAAAAAATACGGATGTAGGTTGCCTTGATGTAGCGATGAGAGCAGATTCAAGGCCTTAGCTCGAAGCGAGAACTCTACAACTTTAGTGACGAGTAAGAGAGAAAGAACCTTAATACGACACGCGCAAAGTATTGTGGGACACGCGTCTGCACATGGCTTCGCGCGAACTTGCGCGCAAATTTTCAACTAAATTGGAGTCGCGAAATTGTACGATTATTTGAATCTGTTTTATCTGAATTTGTTTTAATCATATCACATCTCTTGCTGGTTACACGGAGAGTTAACTAAACATTTGAGATATTCTACCATGATGCCTTCCAAGCGAAACTACAGCGACACGATCGAAGCTTTGAAAACTATAATCGCAGAGTCTTTGAATTTTCCCGAGAAAAAGAAAGAATTTTTAGATGAAGGATCTATAGAGCTTATTATTGGTGAGAAGGATCTCTTAATTAGTGTTATTAATAGTTTTGTGGCCACCAGCTTTTGAACGCGCACCTTGAGTTCTGTTGTTTTCGTTCTGCGTGCGCGTGTTCAGACAACTTCATCCTTGATCTGCAAAACAAAACTTTTAGAAGCACAACACTTTGTGAAAACCGTGTTTACAGTGACTTAACGAACTTGCCGCGCTTTTTATTGTTCGGTTACCAAAGATTATACACGAAAATGAATGGGATACAAAGGTTTTAAGTGTATAAATATATCTCCTTGCAAATATTAAAATCAGCTAGTATTATGTGGCTGGGGTTATGTCCCATTAAAGTCAAAGGTTATCTCGAAGGTCTGAAGTTTTATTTACCAGCTGACTGAATAACTACTTGCTTTTATTCTGCTAGTTATCCAGAGCTTAAGTTGATTTGCTGGCAAAGAGTAAGATTTTGGACTGCATAGCTATTGATTGTGATTCTCCAAGTAGCACCCTCCAGGGAGGGTATGGGCATGCACCCAGGAAAATTGTGAACAAATGAAGTAGCTAAGGCCTGCTTTCCTTTATTGTGAGGAAGAATTTCCTCTGTTGAAAAGTGTTCAAAGCAATAATTAATTTTATAGGTTCTTGATTAAAGCAACAGCTTATCCCCAAAACAACTGTTAAAATCAGAAACCTTAAAATGTGTAAGAAAAATTAGTTTCAGAGTGAAAGCATAAGTTTGAATTTGTTTGCATGAGACTTAAGAGCTCTATCACACTTCATCACAAAACATGAAATTCTGTTCATAATCACAGTCACAAGAAGTGATTGACATGTAACTTCTTTCTATAATAATATCTATTCATTATCCAGAAAACAGGTAATGAGAATACTCAAACTTATCAGGTAGCAGTTGTTATCTTGATAGAATGCCAAATCCTCATAGCTTATTTACAAGGAAAAACATAACAGGTAGAGGAGAGAATTAACAATCATGTCCTGTATTGTAGGTTTATGTAACACAAAAACCATTCCTTGGAGCCTTGGTGCATATTGTGCAGCTGCTCTCAGAGTACTTGCTTATGGAAACTCAAAAGTGAAGGCTAAGATTGTTGGACGAGGAGGAATTCCTCCACTAGTGGAGCTCTGCAATCCTGAACTATCATCTGAAGATACAGGTGCTGGGATATTTAAGTTAATTGCTCCAATTCTTTTGCATCTTTGTCTGACTAACTACTAGAAGGTCATTGAGAATTCCAAGTCAAGTAGGGAGGGGTGGGTGGAGGTTTGAAAAGTCAATGCTTAGTGTCATGCAAAGCTGGTGTGGAAGTTCTACGGCCCCCTTTGAGGGGTAGATCTTCATCTGTAATAGCAATACCCCAAGTGGTGTTATGCTGCTTAGACTGGGATGACGTCTGGGAGCTAGTCAGTCTTGTAAGGGACTTGCTTGACCTCATATAAATTTCGTCTCATGAGCGTGATTCTCTAATCAAGGTTAACTGATATTTTAACAGACACAGAAGAAGATGCACACTGGAGATTTCTTGCTCATGAACAAGCTGCTGCAGTCCTTCGTCTCATCACATTTCAGAGTAATGCATGTCAAACAGAGGTAGTTAGTGCTGGTGCAATCAAATATCTTGTAAGACTGTGCGACACATTCAACCCTCAGGGTTTCCATAGTAACTGTTGTCAGCCACACTATCAATCCTCTATTGACGCAGTGCAACTGCTTCATGAGTTAACAAACAGGAAGAAANGTGGCTAGAGGGGAGAATAAGCAATCAGATCTTGGGAGTTGTACGTAGGTTTATTAATTAAAAGTTTAATTCGCAGATCTTGTGAGTGGTGTGATACAAGTTGACAGAATATACAGCATTGATTTATATGATACCTCAATGGACTATCAAGACATAAGAATCACAGATGAGTTGATAAAGAGCCGCTTAATGTGGCCAAGTATGTCCCTCAACGAAACTGACAGCTCAGAGGATGAAGGAAAAGATATCAGATTGAAGGTACAAGTTTGGATGACTGTGATCATGCTGAAGTTTCCCTCACGACTTATCTTTCCTTTTTTGATGTTGTAGTCTGATTGTACAGGTGAGACAAGTCATCATTAGAGTTGAGTGATGACTCCCGCTAAGGTTGTCATTGGTCAGTCACTACTACCGACACTAGTCCCCCTCAGGACTACTCTTATCTGGATGATCAAACTACAGGATTGCATGTCCCCTTCCCCCTTGGGGTGAAACCATTTACTGTAATTCATTTTCTCTCATCCACTGCATGTATATTCTTCTATAGGATGTTTTTTGTTTGAGATAAAACTGGGGTGTGGTGTATTTTTTTAATCATAAAAGTCCAAACTGAACACAGATCAAGTCAAGAAACCTTTGTCCAAAAGTCCTGAACTGAACACAGATTGAGCAACCTTTGTCCTGTTTCAGGATGCAGATGGGAGATGGGCAGACATTTACGTTACAGAAGTAATTGATGCATGTCACTTTTGGGCCCACGTTGGAGGCAAACCAGTGATTGAAAAGATGGAAGCAGTGAATAGAAAGCTGCTATCACAGGTAATTCTGAACAGTGCCTAGAGGTTCTTGTAATCAGTTATGAAAGAAAATCTGACTGAATTCTTGCATCCTTTTGTCATTTAGGAACAAACTCCTCTAGACATCATGCCAGAACCCGGAACATATGTCTGTGTAACAGAAATTGTGGCAGGTCACCAAGATTCTTACAGAGCTCAAGTCCTATATGCAGATGATAGCTCCATTTGCAGTGTCGCTGTTCAGGTCTTTGCTGTTGACAATGGTTTCACTAGAACTGTCTCAGCTAACTGTTTGTACATTTTACCAGAGGAGCTATTGGGGATTCCTCCACAGGTACTAACTTATTAAAAGAAACCTCGGGTAATAACAAGTCAAATGGAAGCGTGATTGTTACCACACTCAGCTCTGAATGGAATGATCCAAGACTTTCAAATCTTACTCTGCCTCTTACTGCCAGTATGAACCTGGAAAATTGTTGGGGGAGAGGAGGTGAGGATGAACCTGCAATGGATCACCATCCTGTCCAGGGAGGGGGGGAGGGGCTGCAGTACTCACTTCATGCAACAAGACCTGGGATAATCTATAGCAGTTGAAGAAGCCATTCCACTCAAGGGCAAGCCTCCTACCTTCATAGGCGTCTTTTTAATTAGTTTGTTGCAACTGCAACCTTTGGGCTGTCTTCAATGATATCATGGATATTTAACTGCAGAATTATTAGTATTTTTCCATCGAATCTCAAAGCTGGATAGATACATTCAGGGAGTATCTCATGTGTGTCTAATTATCTTCTTTTATTACAAGTGCAATTCAATTTCCTGATTTTAGGCAACCTTATGCTGCTTGTCTGGAATTCAACCACCTCCCAAAAGTGCAGAAGTATTGGAACATGCAGCTGGTAAATACAAGAAAATCAGATCTCTGTATATGACTGCATATATTATTCTTGTCATTATAAGCATTGAATATTCCTCCTAACATTTCTCAGGCACCCTAAGAAATTTATCCGAAGATAATAACTCAAACCGTCTTTATGTTGCTGCTCAAGAAGGACTCGAGTACCTCATCAAGGTGGGTATTGTTTTAAAGAACAAAATGCATTATTTTACTTTCAAGGCTGTTTGGAGCAATGAGCCGTAATTGCTTTAGTG